TCTGCCTTAGCAGGAATCATTGTTTATTAGCACTGAATTTTTTTTCTTAGCGAAATACCTTAGAATGTAAAATTATTTTATATTTTACCTGTTTGTACTGCAATAAACATTATTATTATTATTATATTGTAGCAACTAAAATGATCACATAGGCAAACATGGATACTTGCGTGAGATACCTGTCCGGAATAAAAATTCAGAACGAGTGTATTTCACACGAATATATATTCATGAAATATTCCTGGAATATCTATTGCTATGTGGGGATTTCAAATCATTTCATATGATATCAGACAATGGAAATCAGAACTGATGGAATTCATTATGAAACATTGTACATCACTTTCAAACAAACATATTTTATTCACATTTTGAATAGTCAAGAAATATCGTATACTCACGGTCTTTGATATCAGCGAGTCCTTTCAGTACAATACTGGAGTATTTTCCATTTTCTGTTGGGTTTTTATCCTTATAAGGACTAACTATTGTAACGTCGTGACCAGCATTAACTAAACCACGGGCTAAGGCACTACCGAGAATAAAATGACTTGGCGAAGGTACAGGAAACATAACTAAAATTTTGTACGTGTTCCCAAGACACATTGCATGAAGAAAAATGATATAGTGAATGGTTTTCATATTCATTATGTGTGAAAGTAATGAAATGGAGCATGAAGAAATATTTACTTCTCGATAATAAGGACAGCGACCTAATGATTACTCTCAGACTACTTTGCAGGCACTATCTAGATTTTGCGTTATCCGTCAGCCACAGAGTCTGATTTACTATTTACAGTACCGGATTAGTTTCATTTGTGAACATGAAGTAGAGAAGCAGACTCACGAAGATAAAAACGGAAAATATACCTGTTCAAGAGGTCTGTTGAAATTATCATAGCATTTGAAAAAGTTGGGAATATTTCTTATGATTGATTCTGAGACAAAGCCAGTACTAGAGGAGATTTAAAATAGGAGCAAAATGATACATACATTGCAGTTACTTGTTAATATACTTTCCATAGGTCTGTGATCCCTGTTCTTCCTCAATAATTTTCTTCTTTTATTATTTCGCTACCACCACTTATAGGACCTATCGTCATCACTATTACAACGTCTACGCGTAGACTCCAGTATTCGAAATCATGACGAACACTTCAGTCACATATATCCAGTGGGGATACTTGAAGACTGGCTGTAAATCAAATTAACCAAACGAACAATTTGTTCAGGTCTACCTCGACTAACCTACACTGTAGGTCAAAGGACTGACACCTATCAGAAAACAACAATTCTCGTGGCTGATACCACAAAGGGCGTTGGATTTTATCCAACAACTGTCAGTGCAGGAATTTCCACAGAAGTATTTCCTGCATATGCTGTTGGCGATTCAACTGCTGTATTCGATTTTTATTTATAGGAACGGGCACACTTGCAAACCGGTTTTGGGCTATTTGGCCTCTCGTCAGTGCGAGGTAGTGGCCATCATCAACCTGAAGTTGATGATATTCGATAATCAAAAAATCAAAAATAAAATTCTATTTAAACTATCATTTCTCTAACCAAGCTGAAGCGAACGACAAACAACGAATTTGTCATTGCTCCATCTGGTATTAGCCAGGGGCATAGTTGTTTTCTGATAGGTGTCAGTCAATCAACCTACATTGTAGGTAAGTCGATACTAACCTGAACAAACCGTTCTTTCAGTTGATTTGAAACACTTCAGTTACACATATTTCACTCATTAATGTCGCTATATATTGAAACATGGTGATGAGTGTCCCGCGAAGACGTACCTCTGGCTATTGGCTTTGTTAGCGCAATGCAGCCAAATATAAGGATGGGATGATTGCCAAAAACTACACATATGCACTCAGTCATGAACAGGAGCCAATCGCACATATTTTTGGGTTCATTCGGGAGACATATCATCCATATCATCATAAAATTCGTACCTTCTACATCACGTCATAGTTATCCAGGTTTCAAACGAAAATCAATTTAGTGAACAAGTGATATCACTTAGTAAGGTGGAAGTGCATTAGAATCATATGAACCATCCCACCATAGCTCACAAACGTGACAGCAAATTCATCAAATAGTTATGGAGGATAAAGCCATTCAGCAGATTATAGAAGAGATAAGAAAAGCGAAAGAAGAAATTAGAACCACAAAAGTTGAATTGAGAAATAGTATTGAGGCAAGGTCCTGCTAACAATTGAAGACGTGAAATTTAGAGTGCACCAACTTGAAGAGGAAATTTTTTTTTTAGAAATGAATATTACAGTTTTNTGAGCGATGTAGAAGTTTATCACTTACCAACCAACCAACAAACATCCATTTTTATATATATATATATGATTTTTACGTAACATGGTTAAATGGATTTTGACTCTTCTCTGATTAAATAATGTCTGATCATGAAATTTGTTGGTTGTCAAATGAGTTGACAATATGTCTTGTCACAATCACGTTCTTGAAATAACAAAGTTTTTTTTTTACACATCCAGAACGAGATTTCGAACTATAAAATTTTGCACACCTCAGTACACAATAAAACTACACATTTTGAAAACTCTCTCAGCTGGTAAAAGTGGAATAGATCACCAAGTACCATAGCCTCTCTTTGCGAGAAGATAATTTTTTCGAGTGATTAGAATCCAGTGTGAGTAGCCACTTTTGTGGAATCAAAAAATCTAAAAAAATAAATTCTATAACGACTTCTCACCTTTTGATTCAAAATTTATGGGAAGGAACTGATTATTTTCAAATGTTAATTATTCAGGCACGTGTGTTGTCTTATATTGAATATTGTCAGACATTATTTGAGACGTTTCGAAAATTGACTTTTCAAATCCACATGATTTTGATTTTTTCATACCAACACAATATGAAAATGAAAGGAACATAACCGACTATATTGGAATGATCACGGAAAAGGGAATGAAGTCAGTGTCCTCCCCAATTTATTAGCGAAATCAATGTTGAGGTAAATCAGAAATGTCAAAGTATGAAAAAATATTTCGACATTTATGGGCTATCTAATTCACGCCGAATGAAAAGCGGCAAAGCAAAGTGTTCGATACTTCCATCCTACTCGCACTAGACCCAGAAGATAAAGAAGAAAATTCAAAATGTATTGGACTCCCTGTTTTTATTGACAGAACATTTGTCAATTTCTGTGAGGATATGTTGACAAAGGCATTTCTATGGAGTGACGCATGGAACCAGTGGGGTTTAATTCAGTTAGATCAGTTTTATTATTCGGAAGTTTCTGCTTTCGTATCGTAAACTGTTCATTTCGTTGTTATGCAAAAGAACTAAAAAAGTTACCTTCAAATTATTTTTTTTTCATGATTGTTTGTAAAAAACACTTGAAAAAATGACTATTTAATTCATAATAATTTTATATTTGTCTATATCCTCTTGGGAGTCATGACTGGACATGAGTAACAAAGAAAATTTATCGATATATTTCTTCATCTGGATTCACTGAAGTCTAGCTATTGGGCTCTTTCTGAAATTTTTGATAGTGTAGGTATACTGGTGCCTCTCAGATCTTTCAAGCTATTTGGATTTTTTCCTTTGCGTAATGCATTTCTACATTGAAGAGTATATTTTTTTGTCAAGCGAAAATTCACAATGTGTTATACCTGGCATGATAGAATGAATGAAAAACGTTTATCGATTAATTTCGTGACACAAATTGGGTTTTGGGTAGTCGTGTTTGTGCGGCCCCTATTAGAGACTCATGCCTCTTCAGGGGCTGGCACGATAAGGATGCAACAAAGTCTAATGAGCTCAATATTGATTTTTCACAATGAACTTTCAAATGATTCGATAAATATATGTGTGATGATGACCCTTCTTTCAATTTCAGTATCTCTTGAGCTATTACAAGTCCAATAAAGTTGCCTAGGTAATGTTTAGTCCGGTCAAATTAGACCAAAAAATAAGAGTAAAGCTACCTAAATTCTCACCAAAACGAAAAATCAGTGAGATTGTTTAAAATATGATCAAAAATAAAATTTGTAAATTCCCCATCTTTCCTTTTCTGTATGGAAAAAATTGTATTCAAGATCAAAGGTCAAAAAAATTAGTTTTTCACGATTTTCAGCAGAACGGTGAGTTTCATCTGAAAAATATTTTAGACAAAAATTGTAGATCAGAAAATTATCTACAAAAATGTATCTATCGATATTTTTTTCCTACAAGTCACCGAAAGAAATGTGTAATTCTGCCCGCAACCATCATTTGCCTCCATCGTTGCCATCGGCAGTGATGCCAGTTCACACTCGGCCATTCCTGACCAGATGATGACTGGTATGTTGTAACTGAAACCAAAAAAAAACGTTTTAATCAATTACATCGTTTGCTCGAAGGAACCAGAACCCCATTTTGAGAGATTCCATTCCTTTTAAGTAGTACTATAGCTTCGGGACTAAGAGTCCTTCCACTTTCTCATGACACAGGGACACGTTCCCGATGGCCCAACATGGCACAGGGATACGTTCCCGACAGCCCAACATGGCAAAGGGACACGTTCCCGACGGCCCAACATGTACACACCTTATTTCAGAAGCAATAATCTCCAAGGGTCCATCTTTTCATATGTTCTGCAGCATAAACACCCACGTAGGATGACTGTGTTCCTTTACATTCGGGTATGTTCGTAACCTCATATCGATCGTTTTCTAGTTGCCGAGATACTCGAAATAGACCCTTCCACTTAGGAACCAGCTTCCGTCCTGAACCCATGTTTACAGTTGAAGAAATTTCCACTAACACGAGTTCTTCGATGCTGAACATTGAAGGTGGTGCTCGATGCGAATCAAACTCTTCTTTTTGACGAGTCTGGTTACAGTGAATCCTTTGGGCAGCCAGCTCACGAAGCTTAGTAACATCCACAGCGTTCTCATCTTCTATTTCGCCAATATTGTGCGGACCTGTCCTATATCCAGGGAGTATTTCTGTTGGGCTAGTATTAATACTTCTATTCCAAGTATTATTGATCCCCAACTGTATATTGGAGACGTTCTCATCCCATTCGTTATCCTCTTTGTTGGCACCCATCGTGGGTAGACAGTATAATATGGTTTTGTTGTATCTCTCCACCTGTCCATTACCTCGTGGCATCCCTACTGCATTGAGATGGTGACCGATATTCTTCTCCAAACAAATCTCTCTGAATCTCCTCGATGTGAACGCGGTACCTCTGTCGGTAATAATTCTTTCAGGCACTCCAAAAACTTGAATATTTTCATTCAAGGCAACAAGAACATGCTTTGTTTTGGTATTCTTTACCTCCTTGATGAACGTGAATTTCGTGAAAGCATCTACCAAAACCGACACCCGAGTGTTCCGCTGTTTACTCTTACAAAATGGGCCTATATGATCAATGTGTATAGAGTGAAAAGGCAGAGCAATCTTTGTAATTGGATGTAAGTGTCCTGGCTTTTTCCCCGACCTCGTTTTGTGATATAAACAATTTAAACAAGCCTTTACGTATTTTTTTATAATTTTTCTCATTTTTGGGAACCAATATTTATTTGATATTCTCTCCAAGGTTTTGTCGAAAGCAAAATGGCCCACGTCATCGTGATTAAACCTCAAAATTTGCCATATGCAAACTTTCGGCAATGCCGCCCGGTTTCCTCGATCAGTACGACGGTATACTCTTCCCCTCCGAACATCATATTTTTCAAAAATGTCTTTGTTGCTGTTTCGATCACCCGATAAGATAATATTC